CCTACTCTTTTGCTACCCCATGAACTGTAGCCTGTCAGGGATCAATTCGTGGGATTCTTCAGGCAAGAAGAGTGGAAGGAGTAGCCATTCCCTTCTCTCAGGGGTCTTCCAGACCCAGAGATCAAACCAGGGTCTCCTGCATTGCAGGCAGATTCTTTAAGATTATCTGAGCCTCCAGGGAAGCCCCTTTTGAGAACATATCTCAGATTATCTCACTTTCCTTCTCAGAATCACCTGTCTCCTCATGTTACTTAAAATAAAAGCCATATTCAATGTGCTGACTTTTAGGAAACCCTACTAACTTGGCTTCCACTGCCTTCATAGGCCCACACTGTCCCCCACTCCCTTGTTGGGCTTCAGCCTTGACATTCTTCTGCCTGGAGTGTTCTTCCCCAGCCATCCAACTGGTGCAAACTCCTGTATGCACCCCGTTTCCTGCCTCCATCATTGCATCCTCAGTGAGAGCTGCCTGAGAAACCAGCCCTCCCCTCCCCCAACAAAGGCACTCCCAATCCTGCCATCCTGATGAATTTTTCTTCATGATTCCACAGCATTAATCACCTTATAGCATACTACACAATTTACTTCTTTTTTATGTTTATGGCCTATTTTTATCTACTCCTGCAAAATTACAACTCCATGATTATCTGCTCTGTTTATTGACTGAATTCTAGGGACATAGAAGAGTGTCTGGTACTGGTAGGTGACAGATACTGGTTCATACCATAAATGCTTTCCTTCTTTAAGTTTAAAAGTTTCTAAATATTAGAAAAGTCCAGACAGCCTTACTTTCTGTATTGATTGAGTTGAGCTATCTGCCATACAAAATTGTTGCAATTTTACCTCGCCAATTAATATCACCCAGATACCCTTCTCTTAACGTATGCACCATCCCCAGTTCCCCCTCTTACGTCTATCATTTTCTATTAAAAAGCAAGCTTCCTTGCTTTTTCCTTTGGTTTCCAAAATGCTGTCCACCATCTCAGCCACTATTGTGTGGACATCCAAATTTAAACAGAAATATCACCATATTTTACAGCCTTTAAAACCTCTGAGCCAATTCACAATATAAAGTTTCTTTAATAACCACAGTTTTCCTAAACCAGGTTTACCAGCAATAAAATGTCTTTAACTGATTTCCCCCCACTTCTCCTAAAACTTTTCAGCTGACACGCTAAATTGATGCACGTCACGTGATGTGCTGGAATATGAATCTGCCATCCATCTTGATACAACCCAATTCAATGTGTCAGCTGAATTCATTTTCAAAAGCCCTGCAGCTCCACAGAAATGCAGCATTTTAAAGTCACATAAAGATAACAAAAGATTGGGTTGGATGTTAACTTTCTAAATCCCCGCAAGTAATGAAAGGACCTCCTCAACAGGAAGCGCTCTCTGCCCATCCCTCAGGATGGCACTCACTGCTCTGCCGCAGTATCCATCCTGGACCGCTTCCATGTTCTGTTTCTACAATAGGCAACAGTATTTATTATAAAGTGATCTCACAGAGTCTGCAGTCCCCCAGACAGACCTCTAAACCGCAGAGAATGTAGCCCTCCAGTGTAAAAGAAACTAACTCTGTTCTCTTCTACTTTGAGTAGCAGCATTCTTTCTTGTCAACCAAGTTGAGAGGTATGTAACTGACAAATGTACCTTGCTATAGGTAATAGAGAAGGGATGGCAACCCACTCCAGCATTCTTGCCTGGAGAATCCCATGGATAGAGGAGCCTGGCAGGCTACAGTCGGTGGGATCACAAGGAGTCTGACACGACTGAGTGACCAACACTTAATAGGTAATAGAAGTAAATTGTGAAATCAGATAATGTATCTTAAATGTTTGTCTGCTGGCACTGAATCTAGATACAAGGTCAGTGTCATTTTGCCAAAGGGGGGAAAAAATCTTTAGAAGAAATATGTTCATTGTGTGTTCACTTTATGTGTCAAATTTGGCTAGGTCAAATTTGAGTACCCAGGCATTTGAGCAAGCACTCTTCCAGATGTTGCAGTTAAAGTATTTTTAGATGAGGTTAACATTTACATCAGTAGTCTTTGAATGAAGTAGATTACCCTCTATAGTGTGAGTGGACCTCATCTAATTAGTTGAGGACCTTAAGAGGAAAAAAAGACTGTTGTCCCCAAGAAAGAGGGAACTCTACCTTCAGCAGAAACATCAAATTTAAGATATTGGAGTTGCCCTTAAGATTTGGAGTTGCCCTTAAGACTTTAGAGTTGCTAGTCTCCACATTCCTGTGAGCTTAGTGTTTCTATTTCCCTGCAGAACCCTGACAAATACACATGATGTTTAATACCATTAAGGAAAAGAGGTCCAAATTAATATGAAATAAAGTTAAAATTTGTTATTGTTTTCCATTACCCTTAAATGAGCATCAATAAACCAAGAAGCTTATTTGCTTATTTTTTAGTATCAGTGCTTCTAAGAAAGGAAAATATTTCCTAATTTTGAATTTACAAAGAATAATATATAACCCTTTCAGTGATGTTATATTTCACAGATTTAAGAGTTTCTCTTTACTGGTGTAAGCTATTAGGTAATTTTTTTCCAGAATAGTTACAAAGAATACAAACCTTGGTTGACATTGGAAAACTGTTTTCCAGTGTTTGAGAAGCTGGGCTTAAAATTTATTCTTAAAAGGCTTTTTTTCTCCCAAGTAACATAAGAAAAATGCATAGTTTTACGGTAGTACATGTTTAATGTGCTTGAACCCAAGGGGTGGGGAGACATTAACTACTTATTGGATTGAAATACCATCTTCTATATATACCACCAGGAATCAAATTTGGCCATCCCCTGCTTTGTTCTCAGCCAAAAAAATAATGTATAAAATGTTTTAAAGTTTTCCTGAGTCACAATGTCACAGAAAAGACAAGCCACCAGTATAGTGTGGTAGTTACAAATGTGTCTGAGTTGGAATCCTAACTTTACCGTTTCATAGACATGTCAGGCGGGGATCTTTCTTTCTCACCCACAAAGAAAGAAAATACTAGTATCTTTCTTCATGTTATTTTGCCACTTAAATGAATGTAATGCATGTGAAACCCTTAGGATGTAATCAACTCCCAATCCATTTGGTCTTCATGTATAATTAGAGAGGCTTTCGTTTATATTTCTGATTGTGTCTGTCTACACGTAAAACTAGTTGAGATTACTAGACACATCTGAGGTCAATATAAAGAACAGGAACTAGTTCCTCTTTGGTTGCAAAACTTGTTAGCTACATGCACTTGTACTTTTCAGCCAATTGAAACATGAGCTCTATGTACCCATGCAGCGGAGTTAGCCCTGTTTCCCCTTTATCCAGCCCTTTGATGGGAGGCCTCAGATTTCTGGATACAATGGCAATCATCAGCACTTTTAGATACAGGAGGTCCTTCTGAGAAAGTTTCTGAAAAATGTGCCCTGGGCTTTAGTTCCACTTTCTGCTCTTTTAGCAACCAGTTGTAGGCAAGTCATTTATCTTCAGATTCATTTTGGAAAAATCCCCCATGGAATATTTGAATATTTTTCTTTGTTCTTCCATATTCCTGATAAGTTGTATTCTTTCTTTGCTTTCAGATTGCATCTCTTTTTTTATTTATGCTTTGACATCAAAATGTCCTAACGAGTAGAAGAATGGGCATTAAATGCTTTGCTGTCATTTTATTTTGACTTAACTTTAATTTTTCATTTTGTTGCTCCATTTGTATAGGGACAGAATATAAAACCAAAGACCATATGCAGATACCATAATATGAGTTTGTAAAACATGAGTTATCCATTAAACAATTCCCTTTAAGGAAATTAATTGAATCTCAGTTCTTTTTTAGTCTCTATTTTCTCTGTTGCCTTTTTAATTCATAAAATCAAGCTAAATTAAAATCCGCCCCCAGCTACAAGGCAAATACAGATCTTCACCTTTCCCCCCACTGTATCACCTTTACATAAGGTAGCTGCCATATAGACATGTGAAAATCACATCTACAATTATATGTATACAGATGTTCTGCAAATACTGGTTTTAGAGAAATGGATTTTTCCTTCCTGAAAATCTGGAACATCAGACATGTTCCATCTTTATTTAATGGAACAGTCTAAACCTTGCTAAAATTAGAACTTTCATGATTGATTACATCATTGATCAAACCAAAGCTATTCTGGCATTAACATCTGTTAATCAACCAGATGTTCCTTACGGTCTCAGTGACTGAAGAAGACTCTTTCCCTGCTGGTTATGGACTAATGGGGAAGTGCTTTTTCCAGGGGACTCTTCTTAATACTGAAGGAGAGACAATATAAATTCTAAAAATGCAAAAATTCGTGATGAGTCTCTTTTGATCTATACTTGCTACACTGGAGTTGTACACAATCTGTGTTCTTCTTTGGGTTAATAAGTCTGACTCACTTTCTGACATCAATCCTAGTCTTATTTTAACAGAACATATTTTGACTCCGTTTCAGTGAAACATCTGCAATCCACACGCACAAAAAAAAGTAAGCTATTTGTAAATCAAAGATCTTTACCTATTTTATAACTCAATCTCTTACTAACCCCTTGACTTGTCCAAGTACAATGTCAATATGGAAATTTACCTGCTGGCAGCTGCCAAACTCTCAGTAAGTGGTTCACAATCAGAATCTCTTTAGTTAGATCATTGCCAAATTTTAAAAAGTTGCTCCCATGAACTTAGCCTTATTGCATATATATGTATATGCAACAAGGCTGAAAGTTTAGACTATTCCATTAAATAAAGATGGAATATGTCTGATGTTCCAGATTTTCAGCCATATATATATGGCTGAATATATATATATAAATATATATATAGACACACATATATTTATGTATATAAATAAAACTGAGTCACTTTGTCATATACCAGAAATTAATAAACTGTAAATCAACTATACTTCAATAAAAAGCTTTTCAAAAAAAGAGAAAAGGAGTAAGGAAAGAGAAAGGGAAAGATGAAAGGAAAATAATTGCCATAATTTTTCACTTACCCTTAAGGATGTTTTAAATTGATGTAGGGCCCAAAACTTTTCCTAGGATATGAGGTCAGAGGAAATTTTTCATTGTTTTTTTAATATCTCCTTACACTCCATTCCATTCCTAACATTTATATAAATTTTGCTTTAAATAAACCCAAAGAGCATTAGAAATTATAATAAGCTGCAGAACATTTTGGCCTTAGAGGTCTAAAGGGAAAAGATACCAATAAATAAAGGGATAGACCCAATATCAAGGCTTGGCCTTCAGGTTATAGGAAAGCTAAAGAAATATTTGCACAGTTTTGAGCTCTGGCTTGTTTTAGCTGCAGTTAACAGATCAGCCTTGGCTGTCTCTTCTCCCCTCCATTTCCTTGCCCATCACCTGCATCTAATCCCTGTCCAGGTAACCTGACCACAGCAAAGGAAAAACAGGACTGGTCACGTCTCCCGGAAGACAGTGATGTTAATACCACATGGGGCTGTATAATGCCCCTTCCCATCACAACACTTCTTTACTCACATCTTCTCATTTTCACCCTCACAACAAACCTGTGAGGCAGGCATTATGATTCCATAGCCCAGGGAACTAAGGTTCAGACCAATCAAGTGAATGCCCAGTGCATACACGATGTGTGAGGGAGCGAGAATTCTAACCCGGTCTCCAAACCTCCAGTTCAAAGAGTTCTTTCTTTATTGCCAGAGTAAGGACGTGGCTCGCTGAAATGACAAGGAAAGGTCAGAAAGGATCAGGGCTGAACAAACTGCCGTCTCTCCTTCCTCTGCATCACAAATTCTGCCCGGATAACGTACCCAGAGCCAGGGATACACAGGCCAACATGCTCACAAATCTAAGATGCTGGCTCTCAAAGGGGAGGCGGGGAGGGCGTCTCCAGAGACGGTAGCCTAGCCATGTGACAGTTGTTTGTCTCTTGGACCCATGGAGAATGAAGGAACAGTGCTGAATTTACACTCACAAGCAACCGTTCAAAAAAAAAAAAGGAAACAGAGAGCCCAAACGTTCCTATTTGTGGGTGATCCTCGCCAGGTGAGACAATGACTGACCTTTTCTGAAGCCACACACGGTGCTGAGCTGTGTGCATCTGTTTCACCTTAGCAAACTCACAACGGGAATTAATAACAGCTTTCCTGACAGCGGGAGTGGGGGGAAAGGGGCTTTGACTTCATAGCAGGGACCTGGCAGGCCCTTACCATTTCGGAGCTTCTCCTGCATTCTGCCAATGACACGCTATTCCGGAGCCAGGGAAAGCTGGCTTTTCAGATGGAAGTACCCGGGGAGAAATGTCTCGCCTTCCCAGCCAAGGACGTTTCCAGTGGCAGCCAAACCCAACAGGGATCATCTCTCTTCTTCTTTCCCACAAGCCGACCACAGACTCAGATAGTGTAAAGGAGAAAGGGGCGCCATGCCCTCATCCGGTCCATCTCCCAGCTGAGACGTAGTAAGAACTTCGCTCAGTTCACCGTCAGGTCCGTGTTCGGCTTGCTATCTTTGGTCCATCGAGTGTAAGCGTTCTTCAGTCAACTTGCTGCATGAAAAAAATCTTTATTCTAATTCCCTTAAAAGCTTGTTTTTTTTTTTTTTTTGGCAGTTTTTTTATTTATCTTAGGCTGTGCTGAGTCTTCATTGCTGGGCACAGTTCTCCAGTTGCCGCGAGCAGGGACTCCTTTCTAGCTGTGTGCATGAGCTTCTCATTGCAGTGGCTTCTCTTGCTGTGGAGCAGGGACTCATGGGCTCGTGGGCTCAGTAGCTGCCTCTCCTGGGCTCAAAAGCACAGACTCAGTAGGTGTGGTGCTGCCTGGACTTAGTTGCTCTGAAGCATGTGCATCTTCTCAGGGCAGGGATCGAACCTGCATCTCCTGCGTTGGGAGCAGGGAGTCTTAGCCACTGGACCACCAGGCAAATCTAACTCACTTAGAAACCTTAGGAGCCATTCTGGATGGATACTACAGAAAGTTCCAAAGACAAGTTCAGCTAATTGTTGATACATGGTTTAGCCTATCCAGAGTCTCAGTCCCTTTAAGATTAGTCCTTTGGGAGTCTTTTCTTTAAATCTCTTATCAAGTGGTTACTAGTAGGCTCTATAGCCTGGTGATTATAAAGTGGGTTAGCTTGGGATATAAATTTGTGTTCAAATTCCAACTTCCAACTCTACCAATTGTTAGTTAGTTAGTTAAGTCGCTCAGTTGTGTCCAACTCTTTGTGACCCCGTGGACTGTAGCCCACCAGCTCCTCCGTCCATAGGATTCTCCAGGCAAGAATACTGGAATGGGTTGCCATTTCCTTCTCCAATTGTTAGCCTCATATTATCCATGTGTGGCAGGGATCATAATAACTAACTTTTAGAATGATTGTGAAGGCAACAAGAATAATACATGCAGAGCACTTACCATGTTCCCCAGCACTTTTAATAAATTTAACAAATAGTAACTATACAGATAGCACAGGAATACATCTATACTGCAAAGAAAACTAAGGAATATATCATGCCTTTAATAAAATAAAGAAAAAAAATCCTTTATAAAAAGGACACAACTGAAGTCTGATTTTTTTTAATGTCCTTCTGAAAGGCTTTAATAACATTAGAAATACTGCATAGAGCTCTAATGGTCATCACACTATATTCCTAGTCATGCATCTCTTCAGTCTGCTCAGCCGGCATCCCCAGGTCCAATGCTAACTCTGTTAATTGAACTTGTTAATGCAATTGGCTCAGAGGAAAAAGGTCACAGCCAATGAGGACATGGAAGGCAAGGTTCTCTTCACATCCTCTTTTATCATTTAAAGAACTCACATGTCTTGTCTACTCAGTGGGCAATTCAGAGCAATGTCTGGTTGATTTCCCAAAGGGTGGAATTCAATGTTATAATCATCACACACATGGAATACAGCTTCACATACTTGAAAAAGAGAGCAAAACTAGAATATATTCCTTGTTTGAAGTTAATTAACGTGGTAGTGAAACAGCCCATAAAACACTTGTCTGCAGCCAACTAATTCTGCTATACTAAGGATGTTGATTTATCTTGCTTCTGGTGCATTTTTTTTTTTTCAGTTCCCCTACTCAAATAAACAAGAGTGTCTTTTTTGTGTGAAAAATTAACAGGGATGCTTAAAAGTGGATGTTTCAAGTGCTTCCTGCTGGTCTCTTACAGGCGCCCATTTAAGATTACAGAAAAAAGGAACAAAGTTTTTCCCATCTTATTTCCTCTCTGTGTTTTAGTAAGTCTTTGGCCTGTACATGCTCACACAATCATTTAGAGAACAAGTTCATTCTTCATTGTTTTAAGGCCGCCTAGGATACAAACTAGATGCAAGTTAGGCATTTATATGAGATTAATATGGAAACCAGACTTTTTTCTATGCATCTATGTCTCTTTATCTCCCTGCACCAAAAACGGGGTCCAGGGTAAGTTATAAATCCTCACGAATGTTTGTTGAGGGGCTACACAAATTTCCACTCTTGTTTTCTAGTCTACTTAAGCCAACACATGTTCTTTTTTTATGTAAACAGTAAGAATCAAGAAACTCCTAGATACTACAAGCTGATTCTCTCCCCCTCCCAAATCTCACATAAAGAATCTTCTTCGAATTCACTCTCTATCACACCTATCCCCACTGCCTTAACTGGTTGTCTTGCTAGCACTCACACTTAGAATTATCTACTAAAGATCTGGTGTCATGCTTTGTGTTTTATAATCAGTAATTTTTAAAAATCTTAAAACTAGGAGTTAAAGTCTACCAATGCCATCTTTATTGAAGTATTGTTGACAATATTGTGTCAATTTTAGGTATACAGCAAAGTGATTCACCTATCAGTTCAGTTCAGTTCAGTCGCTCAGTCATGTCTGACTCTTTACAACCCCATGGACTGCAGCATGCCAGGCCTCCCTGTCCATCACCAACTCCCAGAGCTTACTCAAACTCATGTCCATTGAGTCAGTGATGCCATCCAACCATCTCATCCTCTGTCTCATCCTCTTCTCCTCCCACCTTCAATCTTTCCCAGCATACCAGTCTTTTCTAATGAGTCAGTTCTTTGCATCAGGTGGCCAAAGTATTGGAATTTCAGTTTCAACATCAGTCCTTCCAATGAACATTCAGGACTGATAATTCAATGGACATGGGTTTGAATATACTCTGGAAGTTTGTGATGGACAGGGAGGCCTGGCATGCTGCAGTCCATGGGGTAGCAAACAGTTGGACATGATTGAGCGACTGAACTGAACTGAACTGAATAATAATTTAAATAAATTAAAAGCTTCCTTTTACTGACTGTTACTAAATGCCAGGCATGGTGTTAAATGCTTCCTAGGCAGATTTATGTAACCACCATTGTATTTCAGAGGCAGGTGTCATTTTATGCTTCTGTGATAAAGAAACTGAGCCCCAGAGAGGTAAGGCACTTTTTCAAAACCACACCAGTAAAAGTGGCAGAGCTGGTCCTTCATCATGGACTTATCTAACTCTGCAGCCCATGCCTAATCATTTACCCAATGTTTGCTATCTTCTCTCAGATTAGAAGCCATAGTTAGTAAGTTAATATAATCATTGACTGACTTCCATGTTCATAATTATTCAGAGTTTCAGCCTCCGCATAGCTCAAGGACAATACACATCATGATACCCTATCCTCAGAGTTCCTGAGAACTAGGAATGGGCTGGGATAATTAGCAGCATGGCTAAAACTCACTAGGTGAGTCAATCAGAGGAAGAGCTTAGAATTCAGTTCAGAGTACCCAACTCTCACAGCCATACATGACTACTGGAAAAACCATAGCCTTGACTAGACGGACCTTTGTTGGCAAAGTAATGGCTCTGCTTTTTAACATGCTGTCTAGGTTGGTCATAACTTTTCTTCCAAGGAGTAAAACATCTTTTAAATTCATTGCTGCAGTCACCATCTACAGTGATTTTGGAGCTTCCCAAAAATAAAATCTGCCACTGTTTCCCCATCTATTTGCCATGAAGTAACAGGACCAGATGCCATGATCTTTGTTTTCTGAATGTTGAGTTTTAAGCCAACTTTTTCACCCTCCTCTTTCACTTTCATCAAGAGGCTCTTTGGTTCTTCTTCACTTTCTGCTATAAGGGTGGTGTCATCTGCATATCTGAGGTTATTGATATTTCTCCTGGCAATCTTGATTCCAGCTTGTGCTTCAAGCAGCCCAGCATTTCACATGATACACTCTGCATATTAGTTAAATAAGCAGGGTGACAATATTCATCCTTGACATACTCCTTTCCCAATTTGGAACCAGTCTGTAGCTGATTCTGGCTCAAATTATGAACTGCTTAATGCGAAATTCAGACTTAAATTGAAGAAAATAGGGAAAACCAATAGACCATTCATATATGACCTAAATAAAATCCTTTATGATTATACAGTGGAAGTGAGAAATAGATTCAAGGGATTAGGTCTGATAAATGGAGTGCCTGGATAACTATGGATGGAGGTTCATGACATTGTACA